CCTTGCCGGATTGTGGTATCCATCACACCTGAAGCCGTTGGAAAACACCGGCATTTCCGCTGCGAGTTTGTACTCTTCGCTGGCAACTCCAGTTTTCGGCATGCTCAAAACATTGCCCGCCCTCAATATTGGCAGCGCTTATTCCCGATGAGGCTTCTGCCTCCGCTGGCTGGCCAAAAGGGGTGAGCAAGGCGAGTTTTCCCCTGAAACCCCAGTCGCCCAGCACCCTGTCTACACACCCCACGCGCAAATTCACCATCCGCCCAACTTCCTGAGACCCATTGCTGAACAATGCAGCAAATTGGTCTGTGTGAGGATGGGAGACTGGTATATTTCACAGTGAATTCGAGTAGAGACGGTGCCATCCCTCGCATTAAGATCACCCACATATTATGAAGTCATCAAATCAAGCTCATTTAGGCTGCCTCTTCAACATCGCCTAGCTTGACGACACTACCAGGCGAGAAGCAACTTGCTTTGACCGACCTCCTAAACAACGGAATCCACTGCATCCACCGAAAAGAAGCAACGGGGGATGTGAATGCTCATTCTTTGGTTGTCGGAAATTCCCCACGCTTTCACAAATGACACTAGACACGAAAGTGTCAGCTGCAGAGTCAAGTGACAAGTGACGCCGGCAGACAGGGCCCAGAAGCCCGGAAGACAAATGGAGGCGTCTAATGTTGTCACACTGCATTATCAGCCTCAGCAAACTGCCACGAGATGCGCCCGCACCGTGTCGACCTTCCGTGCCGAGCAAAAGAAACAGCCCACCGATTGAGAAGCTCATCAAATAACATATCAAACAACAAACAACAACACCCGTGAGCTTGGCTCACTTTCCGGTGCATCCCGTCAATAATCCCACCACTGAGAACTTGAAACAACTCAAAATTCATAAGGGTGATCCTTGAACGCTCCCAGCCCCTCATGCGCGCAAGATACTGCCAGAGAGGTGAAAAGAAGAAGAAAGTTGCGCTCCTTCTTCGGTTTGCCTCCTCACTATACCCTGCCGCCAAGCTTTCCACGATACTACCGTCATGGATACCAGCACTATCAGGTCTTGGCAATCTCCAATGCTCTGATACCACTTGGCGCTCACCGCACCAATGTCTTCGTGGTGCCAATCTCCGCGGTGTCCTGCGGAAAGTCACCTTAGGAGTCGAACAGACGGCTTGAGTCAAAAGAAAAGACTTTACTCGGGAAAAGGTCCCCGATATCCCGCTTCGATGATAGCATTCATCAAGTTCACATGACAAGCAGAATTAATACGTATGTGCTGGACTTCCTCGATCCCGCCTCCCGGCCCTCCCCTAAGACTCCCATCTCACCATGGTGGACCCAGGCTATCCCTTCCACCGAGATCACCCTCCGGATCTGAACTTAATCGTATATCACAATTGTCTTCATTCACGGCTCCTCTCGCGAGAGGTTCACCATGGCGCCGGAAATCATTTACATGCTTCACTGCTAATAGACAATCGGCCTGCTTGGCTCTACCTCAGGTGAAAAACAAGGGGGGTGAAGAGGTACAGCCCTCCTTGGCTATCTCGTGTTGAGAGACCATCAGCTGTCGGTCATCGTGAATTTTCCAGAGGGCCGGCACTCTGAAATGCCCGGCATATCCCCTGAAGCCTTTATACAATTTTGCGACAATCATGCACTCCTACCCGCTGCTGGAAAATCCTAGAACTCGAGGGATAGTATAATGCCAAGACGACAGTTGACTATTTCATACATGAAAGGAAAAATTCTGCCCATCGCTACCTGCAAAAGCCGTGACGAAGAAGTAGCACGAACCTGCAATTGCGCTCATTCCGCCACTTTCGGGCGTCCATACGGAATACCGACAAGGTCTTGGCCCTACGGGGCTCAACCGGGGGCGAGGACCGGCTACCCTTGGCGCTCTGTGGATCCTTCTAAACGGCGGGCAACGGCCCCATGCTCTGCCATTCCCGCCGCTGGTGATGGTGAGTCCTTTTCACCGACGCAATATCGAAAGAAACCTCACGGGCCAAGACGCGGCTCCTTATTCAGTGATGGAGATCTGGGTGCCTCGGGAGCCCCTGCGTGCGGCTACCACCTCTATTGCGAAGCATATCCGAGATGGCCTTTTTCAACGACCCCAGTCTTGGCGCTAACTCAGAGCGGGCAGACAGAAAAGGGGTTACTCTGAATCGCATTTGCACGTGCGAAAACTGTGTTCTTCAAATTGCGAAGGCATGACGGGTCTCAATGACTCGGTTTTGGAGTTGTAAAACGTTCGGTACCAAGACCTCAGCCAGCGTCATGTGTCAACGTCCCACTAGGTAAACGGTGAGCCACTCTGGGAAAACTCAAATGAAGACCTAGATCGCAACAGGCCGTCCTGATAGAATGGTCTTTAGATTGAATAGTGCCAAGTTGAGGTGGCTCTCCGACGAACAAAGCCTGGTTGCTCCCGAAGCATCCGACTGGCGGACGCGACTAGCACGTGGTGTCTATTGAGTAGATGTATGAAGGGCCAGAACAGAACCTGATGATGTTTTGTTTAGCACCGTCAACCACCAAGCTCATTATTTCCACGAAAGAGAACGTTGCTGAGTCAATAGAAAAACATTACACTTGCCATTGTTACGTATCAGATGATATTCTATCAAACGGTCCATAGCTAGGTGATCAACTTGAAAATCCCATGGCTGACCAGTTTTTCAAGACTTTTCGCTTTATGTCCTCTGGATACGAATTCTCAAAGTCGACATGTTTGAAATTCCTGGGCTTGTTGTATTCTGATCTGATCAGACAGTCCGAAACAAGCTTGCCGCCCCGTCTAGATGCACCAGGAATCTGAGACATATAGGGAGTCAGAGGATGGCACCCAACGTCGTCAAACATATACTCATCATGGACTGGTCGGCAGCGAGTCGTAAAAGCCCACATGACTTTATCCCAGTTGTACACGTCAATATCGTCTCCCACTAGTAGAATACGGTTGATGAGCATGCAACTCTTGTTGTGGAAAGCGATTCTGCCGAGTTTCTGACAAAAGTCTTCTGGAGTTGTTCCCATATCTCTCAATTTGTCTGTGTCAACCTGCAAAGCACACCATGTTGCTAGTGTCTCGACGGGAGCGAAAGCTTCTTTGATGGGAAGGCCGTGCTCTTGGCATAACAAGAGAAGCTCAGGTGCTGCTAGCTGAGCTGTGGTGTGCTGAACAGAATTGAAGTGGTGTTAGCTTTGCTCTTACTTGTTTTCTGTGTCAATCAGAGAGATGCGCTCACAGACTCGTCTACAATATTTCCCGGGCAGGATATGGGAAGTATTGGGTTATCTCTGTAGGTGATTGCCTCAACTCGGAACAAGGGCCCCATCTTCTGCTCATTATCAAAGACCAAGGCTAGGTAATCACCGAACGGACCTTCCGGCCCTTTCTTTGTAAACGACATGGTGCCCTCGAGTACGAGTTCGCTGTTTGCGGGTACCAGCAAGTCACTTAGCTCGCATTTGACCATATCGAGGGGCTTTCCAGTCACGGCCCCAATGTACTCACTCTCAGATATGCCCTCTGGAACGGGCATTGACGCAACAATGCTGGCAATTGGAGGGACTCCCAAGGCAAGCGCCCAGGGCATCTCGTTGCTCCCATTCTCGATCCATTTGTCGCGGATGATGGAGTTGTGCTGTCCACTGCCGACGAGACAAACCAGATGCTTCTGATCATGCACCATGCCGCGGAAGATTGACCAGTTCGTCCAAGACTTGTCGGGCGTTTGGAGAATATGGATTCCATACGTCTGCAAATACTTGCCGCCGTCACCCTCGTGAAGGTATGGCGCCGGCAAATCTTCTAAGTTGATCTCATCGCCAAACATCTTGTTCTGCTTGCATGGACCAGTCTGGAGGACCTTTGGCGGCAGCGGGACCGCTTTCTTCCAAGACATGAATCGGTCTGAGATCTCTTTCCAGCTCGACTTGGGTGGTAGACCCAGGTTTCTGGCAACACGTCCGAATCTCTCGACTTCATCTTGCCGTAGACTAGCTGCATTTCCAAACATGCGCCACAGTCCATTGCGGGCGCCCTTGACGTTGTTGAATAATGGCGCTTTATCGTTGACCTCACTGACTCTCCGCACGATGGCGCCAATCTCTAAGTGCGGGTCAACTTCGTCATTAATCTCGGCAAGGTCGTTATCGTAGCGAAGAATGTCGAGAAACTTTCTGAAGTCCAACTGAGCTTCGATGGCGTCAGGCTCGTGGCACTGTGCGTCGGACGGCCCCTGTCCCTGTCGCTTTGAGTGCGAGTAGTTGCACTTAAAATGTTGAGCTGCCGCGAAGGGTCGCTGGTAGACTTTTCTAAGCCTACCGGCGGCCGTTGAAGAGTGATATAGGGTGGCTTTGAAGGTCATGATTGTGGTGTTTGGCAGAAAGAAGAATGCGAGACAAAGACTTCGAATTGGTCCCGGGACCAGTTCATTTGGTGTCATGTACGGGTGGTTTGGTGGGCTGTTACACAATGATCATCCATGTGTCATCACAAAGCCTATCAACTATGACAACCGTGGCGATTGACTGGCACAAGCCGTTTATGATCAGTTGTGTGCGTCGACGCGGCAGCTAATACAAGTTTTCCTGAGTTCTGGAGTGGCCAAACAGGGAACACGGAACGTTCCTGCAGTGTTCCTAAGCCATTCCGCGGAATAGGAATGGTCGCCACCACCCCCATATGGCTGTGAGATAGCCTATCGTGCATGTCTTACCGAGATTCGTACTACAGGCTCTATCTCATGCTCTAATTGCTTAGAATTAGGTGGTTGACATGGATACTTAGGTAGGCCAGAGCTGGAAATAGTGACGGTTCGTGCCCGGCGTACAATGTCACTCAGTTCGTCCATGTTCAACAGTAAATTTATCGCTCATATCTGCTTTTTAGCTCATCAGAAACAACAGTCATAATGTCTCAGCGATTTGCCCAGGTAGATTTGAGGACATTCAAGCTTTTTACGTCGTTACAAGTACCCAATATGCCAACGCCACCCCAAGGATCTTCACGATACTTTCTCTCAACAGCTTGTCGCCAGCTAAAAGTCAACCAAGGAAAAAAAAAGAAAGACTTTCGTTGTTTATCGCATTCTGCGCGTCTAACTCACCGCGATGATGGCTCCATCTCCCAACTCACACCGACCAACGAAGACCACATTCGATGCGCACAACCGCGACCGAAGCGACTGGTCGTTGGTATCACGGGCGCCACTGGCACGCCATTTGCAATCCGGCTACTTCAAATACTGCATGAGATCGGTGTCGAGACGCACTTGATCATGAGCAAGTGGGCGCTTGCGACATTGAAATACGAGACGCCCCTTAGCGAGAATCAGATTCGCGGTCTAGCGCATACCAACTACACTGCGAGGGACATGTCGGCACCGGTTGCGTCTGGGTCGTTTCAACATGATGGCATGATAATAGTGCCATGCAGCATGAAAACACTCGCGGCTGTCCGAGCTGGGTTCGGAGACGACCTGATATCCCGCGCCGCTGATGTAACCCTCAAAGAAGGCCGGCGGTTGACGCTTGTTGTGCGAGAAACGCCATTGAACGATATCCATCTCGACAACATGTTGTTTCTTCGACGGGCTGGGGCTGTCATCTTCCCACCCGTACCTGCGTTCTATACGAGGCCGAAGACTTTGGAGGATATCATTGATCAAAGTGTTGGTCGGATGCTGGACTCACTGGGCTTCCACATCGATAGTTTTGAAAGATGGGATGGATTTCGCAAAGACTAGGGCTGTTATTTGGAAAAGGGTTTAAACGCCGGTTAATTCATTCCTCGTACAAAAGTTCCCCTTCCGAGAAGAATGTCTGACTGTCCACAAGTGGCCAGTCGCAGAAAATTGATCCAGTCCCTCCAAATACCGCCGCTGGACTGCCAATACTTCCATCAAAGCCGGAGTTGGCTGCATCCACTGAACCGGGAAGAAACGGCAAATCTTGCATGAAGTCGTTTGAGAATGATGGATAAAGGCTGCTTGCGGCGTTACCTTCGATATTGATGTCGTTATTCGGCAGTCCGCCTTCTGCTACTCTCGACTCTATCGTTGACGTCGCCAATGAGAATGGGTCCTGCAGGCGCTGTGCAGACTGTGTAACCACCCTAGTCTGCATGCTGCCCAGCCTCGCTGCCCAGGATGCATCGTTGAGGGTTTCACCTCTTTTTGGTACTCGCATAGGGCGCTCTTCGTCATCGCAAACAATTTTGAGCTGCATCAAAGGTTCACGCATGAGTAATAGTCTCTTCCACAACTTGCGAGACGCTCGTGAAGCGCCGTTGTATGCCTTTGCTAACTTGAGAGCCTTCCTGAAACTCTTGCCCACGGTGTCAGAAAAGTTCTCAGGCAAATCAGGGGCTAGAGTGCTGTGGTTTTGAGCGACGTGGGCAATCACGAGGGACATGAGAGCGCATGCGCTAACGAGTAGGTGGACGTAAAAAGGCTGTTGTTTCCGGTAGACATCCGTGGCCTTGTCCAGCTTCGACAATATATTAATCGACTCAGCTGAAAGCCTCAAGGCGGACGGGATGTTCTTCCTGCTGCCAGGTGTCGGCTTGTTGGTGAAGAAAAAGGGGCGAAGAAGCATGCTGTGGGCTGCATTGGCTCTTAGGTTGAGAAGGACTGCCCAAGATGGTATGCGGCGGATTGGGGTCATGACGAATACCTCGTGCTGTCTGAGGTCAAAGTTTTCCACAGAATTCGTTCTCCACTGCTCAATCTGGAAATTCAGGATGTCGAAAGTCTCATCTTCATCATACGGCTGACCTGTTGCGGCACTGCGAGCAACTGGTGACGTAAACTTGTCGCTGAGTGCCATGAATGCCACCATTGCTCGAAGATATGGAGATTCAACGGACGACTTCATAGCTTGGTGGAAATGCGACTCTTGAAAATGGGTTGGCAATCCTGTAGCCGCGCTCCACTGCCTGTCTAACACGATCGTTGTGCATATGACAGCAATAACCTGTACTCGCTCGCGTTCAGATCCTAGGATGTGCTCAGGAACATCGCGACTATGAAGTCCAAGCTCAAGAAGTATGTTGCCTGCTGTTCCACACATTCTCCACGCTGTTCGCGCATCGTCTCGGAAAAATTGATAAGTCCCCTATTGGCAGGACATGTCAGCTAAAACGCCTTACCAAGGTTAAGTCAAATAGAAGGGGCCCCTGGCTCACCACTAGAATCGCAATCACTGCATTGTTCACGTGAGGTACAAAGGACACTAGTCGTGTTTCAATGTTTTGCCGACAATAGGAGTAAATCTCCCCGGGCACGTCAACACTTGGATGTTGAGTTGGCTCAGCACAAAGCGCAATGGAGAGTACGAGGTTGATGATCAGTACCGACGATTCGTCGATAACTTCGCTGAAACTCGAATTTGTGGAAAGATCGGTTGCGTAAGTGTGAACATTGAGTTGGTAGAGCCTGTCGAGCTGGCCGACGAGATTCTGGATGTCTAAGATGGGATGGAAGTCACCGAAAACCTCTTGATAGGTAGACACTAGCTGCGTAGCTTGGCGCTTTGTGAGATGTCGTGTAAACCCAATCAGCCTCGTTAGAGAGCGGCCAGGATCTTGGCCAGAAGGACCTTCATCCAAATCATATCCTGAGCCATTCTCCGACTCTTCATCGTCTGACTGAGAGTCCTCTATACTAGGGAGACGTGGTTGGCTAGACTGATGGCTGAAGCTACCTTGCTTCATGCGTATCTGGGCCACATTCAAACTATAGTCTGGCGATGTTGGCCCGCAGTAGCGCCTGCGAATGATCGTTTGACGTGCGAGACGCTGCCTTGGGGAAGACTCGACTTCTGAGGCTTGGATGTCTGAGCCATGACTCGGAGATTTTGCTTTGTCGATCTGATGGGGTTGGTCTAAATTTGTGTTGAAGCTGTGAGTGGGAGTGTTGTGCTTCTCGACCGACTCCACGCGTGATGACAGGGTACCAATTTGTTCTTGAAGCTTGCTAACGAGCTCGCCAAGAGAAGTGAGCATGCTGTAGGCCTATATCAGCATAACGCTTACGACAAGCTGCGAATGCATTTCAACTTTGTTCACCTTGTCTCGGAGAAAGATCCATAATCCTGTTGTTGCCTGTCAAACGCGTCTGATGGCTGTGGCCGCCTACCTGGCCCTGAAGCTGACGAGCTGCTTGGTGCGTTCGACTCTCTTGAAGCTATAGAAGGCTCGGGAGTTACCAAACTTCGCCGTCTCGTTGGCACATTGACTTCGATATCCGAATACGATAAGCCATCGCATTCGAGAGAACGAGAGATGCAATATGAGCAAGGAATATCTCCAGAGCATCGACCCTTTCGTCGCCTGCAGGCATCGCAAGCCCGAGTCGCGTACGGTGCTCTCTTCTTCATCGGCTCAGGCTTATTTTGAGGGCCGCGACGCTTGTTGCCGGCTGCATGGTTGTCTGCGTTGGTGGAGCGAATGTCGTACATGATAGTCAGCATTTGCCGCTGAGTGTTGGAATTGCAGCACAAGCTGCGCCTGTTGTCCAGAAAGCCCAAACGCTACTTATTTACAGCGTACTGAATCGAAGTAGGACTATTGTGGAGAATGGGAATATTTGAAGATAACAGACGGCATGGAGTGGGTGTCGAGCTTTGCGGGGGTGGCGCAACCAGCACCACGGGGCGGATAACATGTTGGAGACTTCAAGTCGGCCCAATAGTCAAGCGAATGCTACAAAGAGCGGCTAAGGGTGTGACACAGCTGAGAGATACTTTCCATCACCTTCAAGCGAGTATAGTTGCCGCTTTTTGGGAATTGACACCGTGACACGCGTATTCGTTTACTAACAGAAGACTTCACAACCATGATGGCTTCTGCGTTGACCAGTAAACTTGTATTCTGTACCTCATCTGCCTTGCATTCGATACCCATAAAGCTGCGAGATGGCGAAGATTGAAAGATCCTGGACCACTGTTATCTGGAACCCAGTCTTGCAGTCTGCAGATGGGGCTAGCCGATGCACTAGATGACGGGGCATCTGATACAACGGGTAGAGCGCAGCAAGGTATGGACGCCATTTACCTCTCGACGACACCCTTATGTGATTCAATGCGCACAAGTATTCTTAACGCCGATGGAAATTCTCCATTTTCATACCTAATTGGTCTGAAAAAGTGCTTTGATTGCGACCACCCACTTTTAGACTGGTGCAGGACATGGCCAAAGGGGTCCCGCAATAATGCGGCACACTTGATCAGTGAGGACACTTGCATATGAGCTAACGGCTTGGTGTTCGACTAATCTTATCGGTGATATTGAAAACCGGAATCGGAAACGGAACGTTCCTACGGTCCCCTGCTCTCCATTCGCAGGCCAATCAGTAATGGACATGCAGGGTACTGACCAATTGTGTTTATCAGTGAAACAGACTGTGCCGCTTGCGTCCTCTTCGTCGTTGGTAATCTCGGTGTGATGTGTTTGTGTGATGCTCAGCCACCGATGGGTCCATGCGGTGAGCAAACTAATAACAGGCCTAGGATGCGGAAGTGCTTTTCCAGTTGAGATTTCGAGCGTGCTTGCTGACGTTGTTGGCAGATGGATCCATGCATGTGTCCGTACCCCGCTTCCCGGGAGCGCTCCGGATCGGTGCCCCGAAACCGGCCGACAGTCCGGACGATGGCTGTAATATTACTAACAAATGCGGTACCAATAGAGACCGGGCGCATTCTGGGGTGTATTGAGTCTGTTGCAACGTTTAAATACGTGATTTGATCCACTACTTAGGCTGAAAAGGTCCTGCCAGTGGTTGGTGTTCTTCTTGGCGAAAGTTTTAATTCTCACACGTGAAGTGAACCGCATGACAAGCCTTCTGTTGATCAAAACTTTTCACCCTGAAATTCTCCCTACAAGAAAGGGCTCAAGGCCACTTATGCATGAACATTGCTACCAGGATCCGTTCAAACGGACTTCCAAAATAGCTGATATCCCACTCTTCACAGCTTCAACTGCTGCGGGAACCATCTCTCCTAAGTCTTGAACACTGCTCGCCACCCCAGCCCAAGCTTGACCACCTGATGCTGCCTTAGCAATACCGGAGTAGTCTGGTGTCGGTGAGAACGATATGTTCAAGTCCTCGTTCGATGAAGCAGCTCCGTAGCCAGAAGGGTGCACCAGCTGGAGCGAGTTGCGAGGGGCGTTCCAACCTGCCGTATATTTATCAGTTCATGTTTCATCACCGATGACCTCGCCATCGTCTTAGGGGACCAAAACAAAAAGAATTTGAGATTCTTGAAGCAGGACGAAGAATGAATTTGTGATGCCTTACCTTTGTTGCTCAATACGATCGTCAACGTAGGGAGATTGTACCTGCGAGCCACCCAATAAACTGTTCCTGGGCAGCCAAACAAATACGTGCCATCTCCAACAATTTCGCACACGAAATTTTTCTCTCCACGCTCCTTTCCAATGAAATCAAGAGCCAGTTTTACGCCGAGAGTCGCCCCACCAGACCAACCCAGCCCGCCACCGCCACAGTTGATGAGATGGCCGGGTCTATCGACCCTGAGCTGATCGTAAATCTTCGGAGCGTTCGTGACGGCCTCAACGCACCATACGGTCTCCTCAGGACACATCTTGCGCAGTTGGGAGACGAGATATGAAGTTGTGGGATGCTGCGATTGGTCTTCCGGTGGTTCTGCCAGAGCGTCAAGTTGCTTCATTCGAATTTTGTGAGCCTCCTC